CATCAATATGGGATTATTAAGGAATTGAAGTAATGCTTTTGTTTTGTTTTTTATCGCAAAACTTTGCAATGAGGTATCTGTACGCTATCTACTACGGGGAATCAAACCCTGGATTTCAGTACTGTATCTTTAAACTCACCGCTGTCCCATCAGAAGACTTTAAGAAATGTACAGTTTATGTAACGTACTCATGGATATACTGTCTTTTTTTTAACTTTTTCCACAATAATTATGTAATTTTTTTGTTTTTATGTGCTGGGCTTACAATGAAATCAAACCCAGTTCACCGTGCTCGATTATGTTAAACCAAGTAACTTTTGGTCTAATTAGATTACTATAAAAAAATTACAAACAGATCATAATAGTTGTACTTATCTATGTCTCTGTGTGTGTGTGAGGTCATCGTAAATTATGTTCTTGGTTGAAATTATTATGTGATGTTATCTTTATGGACTTTGGACATATACATGGCACATGCTGGTAATTCCTCACAAATGGAGCATTGCGCGGTTTTTCACTCTAATTAAGTTAACTTATCTCACGTGAGTTTTACCTTTCAGTGACTTTTTCTATATTTTTTATATGTCACCTGAAACATTAGATACATTTAGTAAAATGATTTTAGCGGGTAAATTCTAAACTTCAGATTTTTTAAGGGGATGTAAAAATTGGCCTTAACCTAAAAAAAAAACGAACTCACGAGCAAGCTTGGTGAATATATTACATGAAGTTCTTTTGTTTGTTTTTTTATTGGATACACAGAGGGATATCTGTGTTGTGCCAACCACTGGTATCAAAACCCAGTTTTTTAGTGTTATAAGCCTTCAGACTTGCCGCTGAGCCACTGAGAGGCGAAGTTATTTTACATACCAAACTCTTATAACATGGAGTTAACATTTAGACACAATTTTATTAATACTTCTCTTAGGTTTAAGCAAGTTCAATTCTTGTCCTTATTCCTGTAGCCCCCAATGACTCAGCATTAAGTCTTAAGGCTTATGACGTTAAGAACTGGGTTTCCATAGCCGTAATGGGAACAGCACAGTTAGCACATCATACAGCTTTGCATTTAACAAAAAACAAACAAACGAACTATTCCTGTAATCTTAAATTTGGGACCATTTTTATTCCTAGCTTAAAACATTTTAGTATTTCCTGTAAATCAGTGCATTAGCATCATTTTTTTCGAATTAGCTATACAAACGTAGAGTGATGTGGACAATTATAAAATCCCTAAGTCATCGCTCTCAGCCGTAGCTCATAAAAAAGCAATGAGTAAGGCTATTTCAGCCCAAAGAGCCATGATTAGGTATGAGTAAGGCTATTTCAGCCCAAAGAGCCATGATTAGGTAGAATATAAAACTAATAATATTTGTTACAAACATGAAAATGTTGCAGAATGGTAATATTAATGGTCTTTTCTAAGAATATTGTGAATAATATTTACGTGCAATATCATATGACCGGAAATTCGCAATCACCTAATTATTATTATTTTATTAATTCTGCCTTTTACACACCTGTTTGTTTGTTGTTAATCAGAAAGTTACACAATGCGATCCATGTGCTCTGTCCACCGTGTATATCGATACCCAAATTTAGCATTTTAAGCCCTTAAACTTATCGCTGTCCTTTTAGACACTTAAAAGTTGTTTTTTACTTTGGAGATCATGCTGCATGTAAGTGATCATTCAGAATCTGGAACTTTGAATTATTTTATGTTTGCTTGTTCGTTAAGCTATCATTGCTCTGCACACCGCGGATATCACAACCCGGATTTCAGTGTTATAAGCCCTCAGTCTTATCGCTGAGGTTTTAGAGATGAAAGAATTCGATTTAAAGATCTGGTAATTATTTTTTTTTATTCAAGAAAACTTACGAAATCGCCTTATAGGGAAAAGATCGAAATATTTCTTTGTTTGTTGCTAAATACAAAGCTATACAATGGGCTATCTGTGCTGTGCCCATCACGGGTATCGAAACTCGGGTTCTTATAGCATAATAATTCTTCAGCCAGCGAAAGACGAATATTGAAAGATCTTTCGAATTGTGAACATCGACAAAGTTGAAATGACCTACAGTTTTTATATCAATATCAAAATAGAAGACGCAATTTACTTAAATTCTCAAATTTTAAACATTCTGTGAACTTTAAAAAACAGTTGCGAAAATGTAATGAAAACTGCTTATTTTTATATACATTTATGTATATTGTTTGTTTGTTTTTGAATTTCGCGCAAAGCTACACGAGGGCTATCTGCGCTAGCCGTCCCTAATTTAGTAGTGTAAGACTAGAGGGAAGGCAGCTAGTCATCACCCGTGGTGGGCAGAGCACAAATAGCTCATAGTGTAGCTTTGCGCTTAATTACAGACAAACTAACCTTATTTTGTGGGCGTGAGTGCGCTATAAAAGGGCGTATTTTTTTAGCAGTTAAAAGTAGCCCAACAGTTGATAGGAAGTACTTCTGACTAGCTACCTTCTCTCTAATTTACCAGTTCATAATTAGGGATAGCTTTTCGCAGGTATCAACTGTTGAACGATTAGAGAGAAGGCAGCTAGTCAGAAGTACTTCCTATACCAGTTCATAATTAGGGATAGCTATACACTGGTAGTTCTTTGTGTAGCGTTGCTCGAAAATTCAGAAACAAACACACCCATTTGATTTACTTGCTATACAGAAAATAGATTTCTTTCACTTCACTGAAACGAAGGTCGATATGTTTTGTGACACGAAAACTGCAATTTTCACAAACACAGTTCATTATTCCACTAATTTTATAAGAATTTTTATCTGATAGCTACTCTAACATTTTCGAAAGTTACAGCTTTTATCATTAAAAGTCCCCCGGCGAGTTAGCGGTAAGTCTGCGGATGTACAACACTAAAATCCGGGGTTCGATTCCTCGCGGTGATTATTAATTTGTTGTATGCAAAGGTTTAGTGTAATGAGACGATTTTCCCTTCCCAAACACATTTCTCAAGCAAAGAAAAAAGAAGAAGGAATCCTACGTGTCTAACAACAGCAAGACAACAGTCATGGATCCGCGCTTCTCACAATCTGTATCTGCCAAAATAATTTTTTTCCTCACGCACCAGCTCTCTTCTGTGATTAAAAAAAAAAACAACGTTTTTTCTAGACGAAATTAGACTAGGTTTATTACTTCAAACCGTCTATGTAAGGCGCAAAATTAATACTGACGTTTTTGGTGTAGATAAGTTTGCAATAATGTGATGTCAATGTATATATATAAATATATATATATACATCAAATTCCTTTCTTTATGCCGAACCTTTAGGGGTCGCCACTGCGTCCTAAATGTACATGGCAAGTAACTATACAGCGAAAAGCAATGATCAGAGACTATCCAAGCATCAAGCACATGGCTGGACACTGTATAATTTGAGTGCAATAATTGAATGTAAGCACGAGGGCGGAAGGTGCTTTCAAAGAGGTTAATGGGGCGCATCAGAACTTAGAAACTCGTTGCAAACACCGCTCGCGCTGCTAAGAGTATCGATCATCCACATGTTATCATAGAAACTTGTTTGTTTGGTTTTTATTATTTAAAACAGAAATGTGTGCTTCTCCTAGCGGAAAGCTGCCACATTACAGAAATTTTTGTTGTTGACGTTTTCTGTCACAGAACATTTTACACTTTCTCGGTTATTCCAATATCATTTAATAAAACCGGTAAAGAAAACCAAATGCATAAAATGAATAAAATAATTCACTTTTTGCGGCAATGTAACTTTTTGTTTTTTCACTTGAACCAGAAAAGTATGTTTCTCCTAGCGGACAGCTGGCACATTACAGCAATTTTTTTTTGTTGTTGATGTTTTCTGTTACAAAAAATTCTTTACAATGATAATGGAAGTGACTAGCTGCAGCAATGTTTAGTTCCTGGCAAACTTTAGATAGTTTCAAACTGCTTTAGCTACGAAACTAAGCTAATCCGTGTGAATTTGGGTAAAATATCCAATGACTAGGTTAATTTGGTATCGCTAACCAACGATAGCTTCCACGGTTCGCATTTATAAACTATAATTTCTAATAAATTATTAAACATATATATATATATTACTGAAAATCTGTCGTTACAGCTGATGCTAATAAGAACATCGAAAGCATATACATGAGGAAATGAGTAACACGAACGTTGCTGCCTGTACACTTACGACGATAGTGGAACTATCCCGTCAAAGTCCTTTTCACCTCTACCTGTTTTTGATTGACCTTCTGTCAGAAGAGATCTGAAGGCCCGGCATGGCCAGGTGGTTAGGACGCTCGACTCTCAATCTGCGGGTCGCGGGTTCGCATCCCCATTCCACCAAAGATGCTCGCCCTTTCAGCCGTGGGGGCGTTATAATGTGACGGTCAATCCCACTATTCGTTGGTAAAAGAGTAGCCCAAGAGTTGGCGGTGGGTGGTGATGACTAGCTGCCTTCCCTCTAGTCTTACACTGCTAAATTAGGGACGGCTAGCGCAGATAGCCCTCGTGTAGCTTTGCGCGAAATTCAAAACAAACAAACAAACACACTGAGTAGAAGGAAAGTGATACAAAATATCTGTAGTGGAATGTAACATTTTATTACATGGGGTATGTCTAAAATGCTCTCACACTTTTCCAGCTGGTGTTTTTTTTTGCACCATAACATTAACTAACTTATTGTGATGTTTCGTCACAGTTGTTAGTTATATGATAACTGAAGGATAGATTTTTATCAGTGTTAGGATTTGCGCAGTTTTGAATTTTTCTTTGTCTGGTAAGTTGTTCGGTGAAATTGGCTTTATTGCGTTGGTATTTTACGAAGAACAAGATATAACAGCAAAAACTGGGACAGCAGTTAGTTTATTTTAATAGGAATTATTCTGGTAATATAATTTTCTTGACTGTGAAATTATATCTAGAGGGCGTTTTTGGATAAACTAAGTGAACATCTGTGTTCTATTAGCGTGACTTTAACTTGTATTATTATTATTGTCGCCCTTTTAGTGTCAAGGCGGATGTAACTGGGGTATTCAAACAAGGACAGTAACTTGTCATGAATCAGGTTTATGGAATTCTCCACGAGTCAATCCAAAGGAGTGTGGTCAAAGTGTATCACCGCCTTCCTCACGTAGATGTAAGAATACTGACTGTCGGCAGTTCCGCTTGGCAAGTGATTATGATGAGTGGGTTACAGGAAACTGGCTTCAGGTAAAGAACAGATCTAGATTATATACAATCTTCAACAAAACATACTCTGAAAATTAATTCATTTTCCTAGGAATAATATTGAAGCACATTAAACGCTCTTGCCGAAACAAAAATATATAATTAAATATCAGTCCTAAATCAAGAATAAACTATAAAGTTTTTTGTTTTTTTTTAAGATTTGCTTTAGTTTTAGCTAGTCATAACCTGCAACAGTTAGTGTTTCAAGTTTCTGCAAAGTTTGTATGCCGTGGTCGTGATATTGTTCATATACTGACCAGCCACTTTATTATGATCACTCAGCCACCTATCTACGTCCGTAGAATGCTCTATTTACTTGCACATACAAAAACAACTGTTCATCTTGTATGTCTTGTAATTGTCTGAGTCTTATAAGTGCAATAATATAGTCCTAACGTGGTTAGTCTGCAAGACATTGGGAAATAAAAAGAATAAATGTGAAAGTAGATGTCCTTACAGCACGAGCAGTGGCAATTGAAGGTAATATGTCTGCCGCTAGGAAAAAAAGAAAACTGTGGCAACTAACCGCGGCAAAATCAATTAGATAAACTTGTTAAGTGAAACAGATGTCAGGCTGCGTCCCAGTTGATTGAGTCATTAAGAACTAGTAGCATAAGAAGAACATTGCCACTGTCATATGATAGCCAACACCCAGCCCCAAGATTCCCATTATTGGATGGAAACGGGAAATCAAGATTATTTTAGTGATTAGAAAACAAAGTGTGGACAATAAATCTATGGAAATATTAACGTCGTCTGACGAATTTTGAATTATATTTTCTAGTTAGGATAAATTAGAAATGCAGATAACATTACAAAAGCCACTTGTTTTTGCTGAAGCTAGAGTAATAGTGTAGAAAAGGTTTTCTTCACAGCAGCTGGGTTCTTTGATTCTGTTAAAAGGGCGAATAACATTTGGAGTGTAAAACCCACAATATTGTATTTCGGTCTTATTAGACAAAGGTTCTTTCAAACCAATAATGTAACAAGCTACTATGTTGTATTGTCTTAAGTTAGTTTGAAGAGCATGAAAATGTCTGCAGTCGCCTTTCTTCCATAGCACAGTCGTAAAATCTCAATCCGATTGAACATCTTTGGACTGGACTTGAAAGTCACATTCGCCACCATAATCCTTTGCCAATTCTGTGAATCCAGAGTGGATCATAGTCCTCGAATAATAAGCTGTAGTCGATCCAGATATTTTCCATAATTTTAAGGAGTCTACGCCATGCTTATTTCAAGGTTTTATCGCGATAAAGATGCCTTAATCCGATATTATGATAGCAAGTCAGTGTATATTTATGTTAACACGTGCATACATACTGATACTGGTGTTCACAAGAATACCGGAGAAAACCAGAGTTCTGTTTTTAAAATTTAAGCACCACTTAAAGGTTTTTAAAGACAATTCTTCATTGGGTTATTTAGTGCAGCGCCACTTGCGGAAGCGGGCAGCAGACAAGAGTTATCAAGTGTGTGCGCCGTGAAAATCAACTAGACAGCAGCGACATCAAAAAATGGTGGACTCTAGGAAGAGGGTACAACACTGCTCCAAAATGTGATCCTCAGACTAAACCCGCTGGTGTCAAACCTTGTAATAAACAAGCATGCAAACCGACTGTACCCAAAGGTGAGACTGACTTGTGTAGAAATTTGTGAGAAAATATCGAAACGAACTAAAAAATATTTTGAAATTTATTCTATCTTACAATTCCATTGTCAACGGTATAAGCGTAGTATTATCAATGATAGTTGTGGTGTACGTTTATTGTTCAAATTTATTGCCAGCAAGTCACAGACACCTACTGTAAAATAATCTCAGCCCATAATCAAACTCTGACATGAACTCAGAAACTAGGTTGAGTTAATAAGTTATCGTAGTATTACCAATCAATCAATTATTACAAAATGATTAATCGTTTATTGTAAATATATTTGTTTATTGCAAATAAATAAATACTTAATTATTTTCGCTTTTTATGGGCTAAAATATATTATTTTTTATTTCATCTTTGTTTGTTTTTTAGTATTTAAAAATTGCTTAGTTATTTATCTTTTCTTTTAAAAGTTAAAAATAACTTATATCTTTAAAGGCTGGCAGTATTATTTTATACTTCAATACTTGATAATTTAGTTATTCTCTTTATGGACTAAGTATTACTCCCTTCCCTTTCTGGATTTCTTTTCTAAA